GTCGTGTATACCGTCATTGTGCAGTGCAAGGGGGGGCTGGGCAGTGGGTGGAGAGCTGGGCAGGTCATTTGGTCACCTGAGAGAGCCCAGTGATGCCTGAGTCTCCAGGGAAGGACCTGTTCAGCTTCAGGTGTGTGAAGATGATGTTAGGTAGAGGGCTGGGACCAGCTGGAGTGGAAGCCAAAATGTAGCAATGGTTTAGAGGTGACTTCTGCAACACCTAGGGCAGGACAGACAGGTGGCCCCAGAAGAGTGGAAGGGAGTGCTGCAGGCAAGATAGGGTAGGGCCCATGTGCATGGGGCTAGGACGGCTCAGGGACGGGGAAAGAAGAGATGTTGAGTGCCATAGCATCAGGGATGCAGATGGGGGGAGGGTGAAAAAATGAAGGGTCACTTCGGAAACAAAAATCCATCTCTGGGTTGGCCTTTCCCAAATCCTGTGGCCCATGCTCTCCAGGATGGTCTGAGGCCATCTGTCTGCAGATTACACCCAGTACCTGGGGGTGGAAAATTGCTCCCCTTGGCAGAGCTGCAAGTCATTGGCCAAGGCTCCCCAGACTCAATCAGTTTGCAAGGGTCTCCCAACAACCCTCATAAGCAGGCAGTTATAAGGTGGTTCTTGGCTTGCCCCGAGCAGCCATGCAGGCCGGGCCCAAAGTGCCCAGATGCTCTTACCTCATGTTGACTGCAGGGAAGACCAGGTCTGGGAAGGTCATGAGCTGGCCATGCTGTCTTCTACGCTGTGCCTGACCAGAGGAGGGAACAACTATACTTAGCCTGGACTAGTTCACTGCTCTCTGTCATGATGAGGACATGGCAGTTCTCTGCCCACATGAGGCATTATCTGGACATGGAATCAAGTCTGAACAATAGTTGTAGCATACCTGGAGCCAAGGAACCAGTTCTGCAGCCCCACGTAGTAGACCCCAGGAGCTTGGCTTTTAACATTGCGGGAAGCACAGGGAAGGGGCAGGTTGGGTCTTAGTTTTCACTGCTTTGAGTTGGAGAAATCTGTGGCTGATGTTCAAGTTTTATTTTAAATTCTCTCTCTGGAAATGACTTCCAGACCACAGGCTACAACCCCTCCCCTGTAGGAAGCTCCTCTTCTGGTCATGGCCATCCAGACCTTAGCCTGCCAGCTCATTCCAGTGAGGATGGAAGCCATGTCTGTCCCCCTCTGCCTAAGTACAGCTGTTCTGCCTAGAACTTCATACCCTACTCTCCCAGATCAGCTCCCTTGGCTTCTGGTGGTCCCTGGCTGCAGTGACCCCGACACTACCCCAGACAAGGAGCGATCTGGTAGAGGAGAAGGCTCTACGGAGAAGGGAGGGTGCTCTGGAGTGACCAGCTCCAGCAGTTTGCTTTATACAGATGTTTTGGTTCATTCTTTCCCTCATATTTATAACTGTACAGACTTGGGGGGAGGGTTTCTGACAGGCTGTTATCTCTCACCGCACATATATTGTAGGCGATGTAACCTTCTTGATTGTGCTATTAGAGTTTGTGTATGTGGCAATGTAAAGAACTGTGTATAGTGCATTGTACAGCATATTTTCATGAATAAAATTGTTTTAAATATTACAGGCCTGGCTTCAGTGTGTGTGTGTACAGGTATGTGCCTGGGTCTGCATGCATGTGTGGATATGTACGGGCACACATATGCTTGCTGATGCATGAGCGTGAGAATGGATGGAGAAGGCAGCAATAATGGTGAATCAGAGAGAGAGAGATGGAAAATGAAAAGTTCCTCTATGACCCTTGGGCATATGGGATGATGAAAGACCAAGTGGAGTTCAGAAGTAGAGCATGGGATGCAAAAGCCCATCAGTTTGGATGACCCTTCTGGGGTGATGGGATATTCCCTCCCCAGCTGTCATTGTTGTGAGATGGTCCAGGATGCAGAACTTCAGAACTGGTCACTAGGGGACAAGAACAAATATGCTCAGATCTGCCACTGGCCTACCAGCCAAGGCACTGGGGATGGAAAGTAGAGTCTCTCACACTTTCAGGGCTGGGCTGGACCCAGGGTCATGGGCAACATGAAGACTCAGTAAATAACTTGTTTTGTAGAGAGGGGACTAGTACCTCTGTGGGGAAAAAGCAGCTGTCTGTGCCACAGCCATGCAAGGACATGAGAAAGCAGATGGTGCAGAGTAGTTGTGGCTGCGCATGTGAATGGCTCTGGGTCTCCATGTGATTGCTGCGCTGTTAGCAGGAGTCATTCACTGAGAATGCAGCCCA